GAAGAGAGAGAGAGAGAGAGAGAGAGAGAGAGAGAGAGAGAGAGAGAGAGGGGAGAGAGAGGGATGGGATGGGATGGGGGACCGAAAAATCCATGCACGTAGGCAAGCTGTGTTATTCGCACACTGTCATTCTATTCTGCCCCCTCCGTTTCCACCATTAATGGCCAAGTGGCCGACTGCCTCTGTGGGTTTCCCATCGTTGGTACTTCCCTTCCGCCGCCAAAGGTCCCCTTCCTGGTCGGCCTATACCTTCCCAGGTTCCTACGCTTTGCCTCGCGAATGGTCTTCTCTAGGAGTGTGTACAACGTATCCAAATCCGCACATCTGTCCCAATCCTTCAACTGCCAGCAAAAGTTCCTGGTCAATTGGACGAGCGCCAGCAGATCCCTGTCGCTCTTGACCTTGTTCTTCGTGAACGCATGCCTAACCTCGTCGACGGGGGATATGTCCCCGTTGAAGCTTTCTATACGACTGACCATGTTTTTCTGAAGACCTCTTGCATCACTGATCCTGCGCAAGAGGTGGGTCCAATGCGGGAGGCTGAGGTCGTCGGGCTTGGAGATGGGGTTGGATTTTGCCGTTAGACAGAGTTGACGGGATTTCTTGTCCTTGATGTTGTCCAGGTGCGCGCGGTGGCGGAGGTAGAACTCGTGAGCAGCACGGACACAGCATTGCTGCATTTGTTGGAAGTATTTGCTCTGCTCTTTGCCGGAGAGGTGGGTGTTCTGCAGAGGTTCGCCGTCGGCTCCTTGCGTTGGTGGGTCGAGCTCCTCGTCGGAGTCTAGGTCAGTTCCGGATAGCTCCCCACCGTCAGCCTCCTCTCTTACGGGCGATATCGCTGTGGATATTTGCGCAGTAGCAGATTTATTCTTTTGATGTTTGAGTCCCCGGCGGGTTTCCCGAGCTAAGGTGGTAGCAAGAGCAGTGGGTTCCTCCCGGAACGTCTCCGGACGGGGTAAGCCATTCGGACCCGAAACCCCGCTAGGGTATGCAAAGTGATTTTTCCAGCCAGCCAACGGGCCTGTAGGGGATTTGCTGTGGAGCTTCTTGGACATGATTTCCAACGCTTGAGACACTTGGCGGTACTCCGTTGCAGTCGGTGCCAATGCTCGGCTATCCAAAAGATCCCCGAGAGCCGCAAGTTGATTCGTGATGTGCACGAACACTGCCGAACTCAAACTCTGCGCGTCGTCGGCATCTTCAGCATTTGCTCCGCTCTCGAGGTGCCCATTCCCGGGCAGAGCGTATGTGGCTGGCTTCGGGGCTGGTATGATACCCTCTGGAGGATGACCCGAAGCCTCCGCTTGCCAATCCGATATCACATCCGAGATGTCGAAACAAACGTTTGACTGTCGCTGAAACTCGTCCTGGTGTTTTTGGGTAGTCCACAAGTGTTTTATCATGTCTGTAGGGGGTTTCGCGGTGCGATGCTCCCTGATGACATGCTTGATAGCTCCGTCCTGTGCAGGAAAGGTCCAAGCACACCCCCGTACGTAGCAGGCGAACAGCTGATGGACCGATTGGTGGCCTATCATATCGTAAAGGCTGGAAGTCATAAAACGTTCGGGGCAATCCGGGAACACGCAGCGATAGCCATAGCTTCCGATGGGTAAACAGGTCTCTCTGTGTTCCCTGCATCATCGTAGGGAGAGTTAGCTTTGTGGACGCGACGTTTTTGACACGGGAAATACTGGACGTACCTCCAAGACTTGCTATCCGTGAATGAGCCGCCGCAGGCCCCCCGATAACACTGTAACTTGTTGCAACCCGCGGGCTGACAGGTACCTGTAGGATATCCGTGTGTTGTGACCGTATTACCGTTCATCCTCGGTGTGGAGCTGCCGCAATTGACAACCTAGTTTATTAGAGGTTATGGACGTGAAAATATTGAGAAGGCTATGGCATCATTACTTCGCCCAAAACTCTGCCGGTCGGGGCTGTCCCAGCTCTTGCAGCCAAGGGCGGACCTGCGACAAACAAAAGGTAAGTAAAAACCGCATCGTCCCCCGTGAAACAACATCGCGATAAGGAGTCGTCACTTACTCATTGTAAAGCGATCTCGAGGCTATCTTGGTGGTAATGGATTACTGACTGGACTCTCGGGGCAGTGGGTGAGAAAAGAGTGGATGTGGATGAGAGAGAGAGCTCGACAGCTCATGACAAGAGGAGGGCGCCGGGTCCCCGTCAGAGCTATATAGAGAAACATGCGAGGCGTTCCCGGGGGGGGGGGGGGAGGGGGTAGGTGGGCGCTTGGTTTCTCCATCCGCGAACCCGCCCCCGTCTCGATTTTTTTTTCTTTGGTCCCTCTCTCCCTCTCACTTCCCCTGAATTTTCGAACCGGGGCTCAAGTGGACCAATCACGTTCCGTCTCTTCCTGTAATAAGCTGTGATCCGTACCGGTAGCTTACAAACACTAAGCCTTCATCTACAGTACTAGATTACACTACAGATTTTCCTTGCATGTTCCGGGTGTTTGTGGTATCATTATTATTTTATTTTATTATTTTCCTTCCACGCTCCGGCTTCTTGCCCAGCTCTGATATGATGGGACGCACAGCGGGGTGTAGAGTGGTGGAGGGGAGGGAGGGTGGTGCTGACTGGAACGGGCAGGTCCCCCGATCTTTTTCCACAATCCTGAGGAACATTCTTCCCCCTCGAGCGTCGACATCAGTACTTTTTAAAATTGGTATGGCGCTGTACAAGTACTTATAATAATAATAACAATCGTAATAAGGATAATCACGAAAAAATAGTGCTATATAGTAGGAGCGCTCTAGTGTGATCGTATCCCATATGGCCCGGTAGTGTATGCACTGTGCTCGCACCAGTTCTGTGCCAAATCCTTAAATGAGACGTGCTGTATCTCGAGTACAGGTACCGTACCCGTACAGTACCCCTCTTGACGCTAGATCAGATGGCCACCTCCTTTGAAGCACATAGCACCTCGATGCAAGCTGCTTTCCTGTATCACTTGGAAAAACCACGTTGTCTTTCCCAGTTTACTCTATCCTACGCCTGAGGAGTGCATGATAAACACCCTGCGTTCAACTTCAGCGCTGGAGTACGGTACTTGTACCGGTAACCTCGTTTTCGAAATGGCATGTTTTTACCGCCCGCGTACGGCACGGCACTTTCCCGTCTTCTATCGATTGTGGAGGCTGAGACACGTCGGAACCCGTGAGCACATCTATGAATCTGCCCCGCCGTGCGCTGATTATTCGCTCGGCCCGAAGCGATGCCTATTAATAACCATCGACCCCCGGTTACGGAACTTCTGGCGGTTGCGTGGGTGACGGACGGCATACGATGTCACTCGGATCAGAGTGAGATGCGAGCGAGATGCGCCCGATGGCAGTGGCCTCGAAACCGTAGTATATACAACTGTTAACAGTTGGGTCACTATCAACTGGCGCGACCGCTCGTCAGCCCTTACATTTTGCGTTGGCCTCCGTAGGGGTTGTCTAACCGTTCACCCCGGCGTTCGTTCGTGCGTCTTGATAGGAACCGCCCCTCCTCCCTGATCACATCTCCCCTTCACGCTAATGGAAAGGGGGCGATTGATTTCTCCGAAGGGATCGAAGGCTTCTATGCTTTAGGCGCTCTTCTAATATTAACATCCTCTTACCGGGTCGTTTTGCGGGCGTAGCTTTCTTTGCTTGCTTCTGCGGATCGGGTGGATTAAATTGTCTCGCCTGGATAATGGGCAGAGTGTGGGGATCCTCTGTCCAAGTACGGTAGCTATTATTTTCGGAGACTCGGAGGACCGTACCAGCTATAGTACTGTCGCATCTCGCTATCCTTGAACGCCAACGCCCGAAGAATCTATCCGGGACAGCGAATCCGGGACAGCGGGTTAAGTTTGGCTCGATTTTTTTGGGATTCACAGGATTTCATACGGGACAGCGGGGTTTGACTATACTAATGCCTATGTTTAGATCAAAGTGATATGATAGACATCCATGGAATGTGCGAAAAACATAATCTAAATTACTTATCGTAAAAAAGGGGAGCGGTCACCGAGTATCACTCAATCCCGAGTTCCGATCCCTACTTGCTATACCGTCCCGGTATCTGGTGGGTTACCTAGCGCTAGTTCTGCTAAATGTGTTCCCGCTTCTAAGGCTATGGCTAGGCGTTCCCCACATTAGGCGCAATAGAAAAAGCCGAGTTCTTGATAGGAGTTCGAGGGTTCTTAGACGAGACAATAATGGACTAAACTTTGAAATTTAGGTGCTGAATCCACTCAAACCAGTGAGGTCCCTCGAAGAGGTTCGGGTGAATGCAGCACCAGACCTTCAAACCTTCTGTGTTATTGAGAACGTCGTAAACAAAATGCTCCTTAGGTTTTTCTCCTGTCTGCCTGGACGCTAGCAACTAGGATCTTCGTTTGACACCTGCTCTTTCCGTTTTCATCCCGTAGCCTATGCTGAAACAGAGGCTAATTGCTGAAACTGCTCATTGGGAGACTTGTGCCTGGCGCGTGTCTTCGCTGTTCCTAGTCTGGCTTGATTCAATCACCAAGTATCACTATGTTTTTTCTGGTTGAATTCTTATTGGCAGGCTGCTGGGGGGGGTTTTTTTTGAGGATATCTGGCTCCCCCTCAAGATATCCGAGCTCCCTGGCCCGCTACTGGGTGCTATTTCAAGTGCACTGTCCGTAATAGCGCATCTGGGTGTGATTGGGGAAATGAGCGTGGGGAGCTATTAGCGACGAGGTCATAAGTGTGTCGATAGCACGTGGGTTTGTTCTATACCGTAGTACCCATATACTCCCCCGGGGCCCGGTGCGCCGATGCTTATGGAAAGGGTGCCACCGGTTCCTCCGACGTGGTCTCCCGCCAAATGTCAAATGGCTTTCCAAGGCTGCTAGTGGGATCTGAATTTGGGAAAATGGTTATTGTAGGTAGTGTAAGCACTGTTGGCCACAGTATTGACCATGGGCACGATCCGGCCGAGCCTTTGGAGTTAAAATGTTGGACAGCTAGCGCTACACACACTCTTTGCGGATGGTCACTCGCCATATGCTCAGCAGAGCTATGATGGATCTTGTGTTTGGTGTTCGCTTTCATATTCCTTGATCCCATAACACCACGATTTGGACCATGATGTGTGTCTTTACAAAATTACAGACCAACTCCCTATTAAACTCCTAGATTCCTGCTTGAAAGTCTGGCACAATGCCCTGGGCGGGGTTATCGTAGGTCCTGAATATTGTATAATAGTAGTACTCTCCCGTTAACTCTTATCAATATACGGGCACCTAACGGTCCGAGAAATACCTCTAGAATCCGTAACTCCACTTCAAACCCCGCCCTTCTCGCAATAAAACCTGCCCCCCTTTCCTTCTATTATCACTGATATTTCGGCTGGGGCTATCCCTTTTCCTATGAAGGAATTTACACTATTATAGCTGTGAGTGATCAGTGTTTGTGGTTTCCCCTCCCTTCTTTTGAGGATATATCTGCTCATATAATGCATTGGGTGATTGATAATATAGTTACCATCAACATCGAAGGAAAGGATTAGTGTCCGTCTACCAGAGGGATAGGAATTGGTTCCCCTGGCAATAGTGCGTGAAATACATAGCTGGCGGTGATGGAATCCAGTTCCGGACCGTATACCTAGGCCTACGATAGGCGGGGAGCGGGAGGTGGGGGGGGGAGAAGCTGATTTCTTTGCGTCATTTTGTTTGGAAAAGTAACTGTAAAGTCTGAATGATATATGGACTCTCAAGTAGGAAAATTCTTGGATTCGTCCGTGAGAGTCGCTGTCTGAATTTGTTATCAGGCCGCCTTTTTGCTGTTCGCTTGTAAACTCGCTACATCTTCTTAAGAAAAAAACAAGCAAGAAAGCAGGAACAACTATAGTACGATATAAGTTGCCAGTAAAGGATGTACGGTCAGTTCAACAAGGCGCCCATCAGGGGTCTTCTTTACCCCATACACTGTGCTCGCATGAGGTATGATACACCCGATTCCTGTCGGATCCCATTACCCTTGGTCACCCATACCGCCTACTCAACTCCCGACAACCGGTGCAGCCCTGGAATGAGTGATGGCAGAATCTTAACCTCACACTTGCATCAAGCCTGTTGGATTGTCTATGCGGTTGGGCGCAGGGTGTCGTATCCGTGCTGGTCTTGTTTCCTCCGTCCCACCACGGTTAACCATGGGGTGTTCGGCCCAATCGGATTTTGTAATTTCTGGCGATGCACTTTGGCATTGTCCGTTAGGCTCCCACGATGGCTGTGAGCTGTTCGGAGCGGCGGTGGATTTTTCGTTTATAGTACATTCTCCGCGATTCTTCCTGGTTTCTGCCATTGCCGGTGTGTTTTCTTGTATTGGGTTGGCTCTTTAGGGTTGGTTGAGCACCGTTTACTTTATAGCGTTATTGGCCGTTGAGGGGAGGGGTGTATATCTCCTGGATTGTCAATATCCATCGTGTCTACCCACCGCCCAGCCCACCTGCGATCTTATTTTCGCCACTTCATTTTTCTCTCGCTTCTCCAAAGCTTGGTCATGGTAGAAACGGATCTTGCTCCGGAGCCCTAGGGAATGCACCCGTATTCCGTGGCTGCCCTTCTTTTGGATCCTGCTAACCCCAACCGAATATATATGCTAATTTCGCTGGTTTTTGTTTAGTGGGATACCAAAACCCAGCACTCTTTTATTGAAGGAACGGGCTGCAAAAAGGATCGTTTTCATCTACAGTAAACACTTGTCACGCTGAACATGTCATGTCACTATCTGCAGAGAGGCCTTCGGCTCAGGTCTGCCCCTCTATCACGCTTGTGTAGAATTGTAGGGGAGATTTTTTAGCATAATTTCAGGACTAGCGAAGGTGTATTTTACCTCTACTATCTGAAAGGCCACTCCGCCTTACCGCCTTAATTGAGAACAGGCATGGATTCATAAGCGGTCACTCGTCGGTCTCTGAAAAAAAACAAGACGATCGTGGGATAAGACCATCTGTTATTGAATAAAAAGCTCTGTGTACCCCGAAGCGTTGCAGAAAATACGTGCTACCCTAATTGCTGTGAAATCTCACCGGCAAATACTACAGCAA